CCTTTTTAAGAGAGTGTTTCTAGTTGCTGCTGCATGCAGCATTGAAAGTGAGCCTTCCTACAGCTGTGGAGACCAGCATACTTTCTGCCATCAATTCTCAGCACATTTCAATAAGCTGTAAAAGTAGGGTTGAACTTATGATAAAAACAACATGAATCAAAATTTATGTAGATGAGATTTCACACCCATCATCTGTTCCCCTCTAAAATCCTCTTATGTCTTCCTAGATAAATCTCACCTGAATTCAGCAGCTCAACATGGTTCCTTTCCACCACCGCATGGGACAGCAACTAGTAAACAAATCGCCAATAATACCATCAATAATATTCATCAAAGTTAACTTCTGAGAATAGTGAACAAGAGGTTGCCAAGAAGATTTCCAAGGAATGTGTTATATTAAGAGAGATAGCAATAGCAAACAGAAAATAACGTGCACATCTGTTAGTCAGTCTACTCTAGAAGAATATCTTGTATGTTTTCACATTCATATGATAAAACTGGTCAAGTTGCTAATTATTTTTAGGCAATCACTTGGATATTGAAAAACAATGGCTTTTAACATGGGATCTATAGATGTTCTCAAAATATTAACCTTGCTAACAGGGAACATTTTCAGAAAAGTTCTGGCAATGTTCTCTCAAAGTTATAAACAAATCCAGTAACATTGATAGAATGTCCCTTCAAAGATCAGGTCTTTATTAATGTTCTCAAAGTATTATTGATACATTGTTCATGGAACATTTCTCTTCTAAAACATTTTAGTTGGATGTTCATCTAACTTTTTTTTTTTCCAGAGCATTCAGGGAACATTCAAAAGTAAATTTTGAACATTCTGAGAAATAAAGTTTCCATAACTGTTTGTGAGCTGGGAACAGGCATAAAATTAAAGCCGCAAAACTCACATTATTTCATGAAATCTTTAAAGTTCATTTTCTTGTATGATGTTGACCAGTTTTGTAGGTAATTCCATTGTGGTCACCACGGTTGATCATGTTAGATGATAAATGACAGTTTCATTTCTCTCAGACAGGAAGATGGCTGCTACTTTGCAAATTTCCTCTGAGCTGTTATGGTGCTCAGTTGTAAGCAAGTATTCCCTGTGGATGCAGAAATGGATGTATTGTGCTGCCATTGATTATGTAGCTGCTGTGTGATAAATATGTCACAGCTTCTGAGAGTGTTATCGAGTGCGGTGGCATGTGTGAGACTGTTGCGAGCGATCAGGTAGGCAACAGGGCATTATTCACTAGACAGCTGCCCAGCTGAGAGCAGCAGCACTGAGCCACTACCAGTCACTGTAGGTCTGGGATGGCACTCTTGACCAGGACGCTTTGATCTGATGGAAAAATGTTTAACAATTGCATTTTTTTAATCGTAACTATTTACTGAAGACTGTTTAGGTTATAAGTCTATACATGCAGTTAATACAATGCAATGATAAAATATTCTGCTGTCTCTACACGTTTTAAATAGGGCTGGGTAAAAAATGTCGATATCTCAATATTAATCGATTCTCATTTTTACGGAACGATATCGATTCTTAAATCCCAAGAATCGATTAGTCTAGCCTGTTTTCAGTTAATGGACGGAACATTGAAGGGTACTTCCCATCCAATAAATCGCAATAAGCATTGTGCTTTGGTACTTTTAATATGAAACAAAGTCTCAGATTTCAAATTCTGTCCATTGTATTGCAGTATTTAAACAATAAATGCCGTTTTGGCGCTGTTTAATGTGGAGTGACAGATCGCTGTAGCGCCTCAGTGAACTGATCATCTCCTCCGCTTTATTACTAGTTATAGCACAAAATAAACATGACTAAACATCCGAAGGTAAGTTAAAAGAAAGAGTACAACTTTACAATCTCATGTAATCGCTCAATAAGCCGCACAAAGATGTCAATATAACGGCTTGTAAACAATGTCACGTAAAATCCCATTTACCTCAGAAAAAAACATATTCGGCGACTATGAACTCATTAGTCAGATAGAAAAATAAACTGTAGAGAGGGGCATTTTGCTTAATATATGCGCCATATAACATTCATTATAATTTTTTACTGTTCTTCAATGTTTAATGTATGTTTGAATAAATCTATCAAGTTTTTATGACAACCACCATTTAAATGTTTATATTTCAAAAAAACGAATTGAAGTAGAAATATGAATATGTAACTGTAACTTTATTATTTTAAAAACATCATTAATTTTAACCTTCAATATTATAGTAATGTAGTACCAACTGACTCTCATGCATATTTTACAGCATTAGTTGAGATTTTTATTATTGAATCGAATCGAATTGGTAATCGAATCGAATCGCAAGCTTGTGAATGAGAATCGAATTGAATCGTGAAATTTGTGTCAAAACCCAGCCCTAGTTTTAAATATATAAAGTTTTGCATACGTCTGATCAAATGGAATATATTTTCAGTTGGATGAAAATGAATAAACATTTATCTGTTTTCCTCATTATTTACAATATTAAAATGGTAAACGTATTAAAAGGAAGGAGACTGGGACTTACACAAATGCAACATCACTGAAAACAACACACTTTTAAAACATACTTCAATAATTTGTACAATTTAATAATCTAGTTAATGATTTTATATAAAGTAAATTATTTTTGTTTTTCTAGTCTTAAATTTTATATACACAGTATATAAATAATCCACTAGGTGTGCATTAATTTTCATTTTTATTTTTTTAATGTGTAGGGAAAGAACCACTCCACTTATATCACGGTAACTTGACAGCATGGACAAGTTAAGGTAGTCGTTGATGTTTGCGGCACAAAATTTGACTGGACAGATAAAAATAACAGTTGATTTTTGTTGTTTTGTTGTATTATATATCCAGACAATCAGAATTGAGTATTTAGACAGGCGATGTATAAATTATTATAACTGACATTTGAGAACTGTCTTAAAATTTGTATTATATAATCTCATCATAAAATATTATAAATGATCATAACATAAATATCCATTCCATAATATTTTTGTTATAGCTTTCACATAAAATGTTTTCTTGTTTAATTTGTCACTATAATCTTATGCAATTGATTTAATCGATTACAATATTTGTTGGCCAAAACAATTTTTTTTTTTTTTTTTGCATTTCAGGATTGTTTTAGTGTTTAAATGTTTCTGTATACTCCATAATAGGCTATTTAATGGTATGTTCCCTATATATTGTGCCAATGTAATGGTGCAAATATTTGAACATAGTTCTTTTTTTTAAAGCCTTAATGGTATGTGCCTATTCTGAAATGGACGTTTTAAAGTAAACCTAACTGAGAAATATCCACTGGAGTAAAATGTGTGACAACTCGCCCCATTGAAGTAAAAAGAGATGGAGGATTAGAATGGTCAATCTGTAAATTACATGTAATTTGAAACTATTTATAGATAGAATGACTATACAAAAACCCAGAAAAATATTTGTCGGGCACTTGAGAGATCTCTTTGAGAAACTGACATTTCCTCAAAGGAAACTGATTCATTATGTCATACAAGTCCCAGTTTATCAATGTCAGAGCTCGCCCTATGAGTTACGAGATGGATAATGGATATTTAACATGTACGAATGCTTTTCCTGAGGGAAAGTTTGTTGTTACCTGCCCAGAGTCTCTCTGTTATAATATCAGTTGATGACATTTAGTAACCTTACATTGGTTTTCATACAGAGAATCAATATTACATTTCTTTTTTAACATATGTATATGATTCTACATCACTGTTTTTTTCAAGGCTTTTTCTTTCAAACAAATAAAATAACAATATTAGTGAAGAAACATCCTTTCGATACCACGGTTACACTGTTTTTTTTTTTTTTTTCCGGTTTTCAGCAGTATGCTGTGATATTTGAAACAACAATTACTAATACTTGCTCTTGTCCTACATGTTGGACAGTAGAGAGTCGTGTAAAGACAGTGTGTGCCGGTGAAATGGTTTTATTTGTACTGTCTTGAGGGATCATTTAAATGATGGAGCCTCCAGCGAGTGTAAGTAAAACACTGAATCGAGCTCTAGTCTGACATATGGTGAGTCAACAAGGGCAAACTGCTGACTGACCCAAGCAAAACACTTCAATCTCTCTATGCTGTGCTTCACTGCTCCCTAGGGTTTGATTGATTGATTCGCCAGCCAATCAGAACACATCAGTCCCCAACACTAAAGGCATCCATTTATATAAAGCCTGTCAATTAAACTCACAAAGGGAAGGGAGCTGTTGTGTAGCTAGTGCTCTAAAAACATACCTTCTGTAAGAGATGTAAGAGATTTTCCTGTTCTTTTACATATGCTGATATTTCTACTAGTGCACTACAGTATTTCTACCTCAAAAGTAAATAAGAAAAAAAGGTGTTCATTTGTATTAAAGAATTTGCGTTTGTAGTGTACTTGTCATTACAAATGTGTAATTACAAATATGTATGTATTAATATGTATAAATACATGACATTGAAGCACACAAGTTTCAATAGAAATTGCATTAATGTATGTTTTAGTTTACCATAAATGCATGTCAGTGCAATCAGCAGTTAACTTTAACCATAATTAAAAGAGTTAGAAGTTATTATGACATTAAATATAAAGATGTACTGAAGTCCTACTTAAGTCGGTCAAAACACTCTTAAGTTAAACTAATTGCATTTAATACCAATTTAAACTAAAATACATGTTCATTTAGATGTCAACATGGTATTTGTCTTGTTTTATGACAGAAATGGAAAATAAACTTTAAATACAAATAAAAAGTTGACTAATTTATTTAGTGTATAAATCCAAGCATGCAATAAATGTACACCTAAAATGTTTTTTTTTCACTAGTTTTGTCTTTATATTATATTATATTATATTATATTATGTTTTATATTATATTATATTATATTATATTATATTATAATAATATTTGTGGATTTCTATGGAAACCAGAGCCAAGAGGGAACAGGTTAATAAAACTGTTTTCTCTTTCTCTCTCTCTCTCTTTTTTTAGGGGGGATATTTGAATCCATCGAAAGTGGTCCATCTGGTGCTGAAGAACTTGCCTTTAAGTTTGCTTTAAACACAATCAACAGGAACAGAACTTTACTGCCAAACACCACACTTACATACGACATCCAAAGGATAAACATCCACGACAGCTTTGAGGCCTCCAGAAAAGGTAAAGCCATCTCCAGCTATCATCTGTCTTCAGCGAGACCCTACACGATCAGAGACTAATGTGCTGTGAGATATATGAAGAGGGACGTGGCCTTTAGATTGAATTCATTTAACCACAGGGGGACATCAGTAGCCGTCTGGTGCATATGCAGAGAGGATTGATTGGTTTTAGGTAATGAGTCAGAAGGGGTGATTCCGTGAACTACTGATATCCCTGAGACAGGTTCGCAGACTGCAATCATCTGTCATTTACACGCTGGGGAAACATCTGAATTTTCTTATAATGATTATACACTCCATTAGCCGCTGCCACTGTAACTGTGCTTTTTTTCCATGCCAGGTTATTTAAAGATTACAAAGACACAATTAAAACACAGTGGCTTTGCCAAAAAAAACTCTGGGGTATAAAAGTAAATGAGTTCAGTGTTACTGTGTTGCAATTTTATTTTGGACACTGTGAGTAACTATGAATTGGGCTCTGGTGTTTCTATTATAACAAAATAAAACAATAAAAATAACCATTTTGTCCTCCAGCTTGTGACCAGCTCTCTCTGGGTGTGGCAGCCATCTTCGGTCCCTCCCACAGCTCTTCGGCCAACGCGGTGCAGTCCATCTGTAACGCTCTGGGGGTGCCGCACATCCAGACCAAGTGGAAGCACCAAGTGTCAGACAACCGCGACTCCTTCTATGTCAGCCTTTACCCAGACTTCTCCTCCCTCAGCAGAGCCATTTTAGATTTGGTTCACTTCTTCAAGTGGAAAACGGTCACTGTGGTTTACGATGACAGCACAGGTGAGAGTTCGACGCTTTAGTGCTCATAGTGTGTTGTGATTATTCTCCAGCCGTCCTTAGGCAGACTGACCCTTTGGCCTGGGCTGTGCACCATTCCCTGGTCTCCGTCTGGCCTACAGTATGGCCAAACCCCACTGGTTGACAGGCTCTGTTAGAACAGTAGGCAGCAAGTGCTACCACAGTGAGGGGTACATATGCCATATGCCAGAGGTCGCCTCAGGAGCAAACTTGCCAACTAGAGGATTTACTGCCAGATTTCCCAAAGCATTCAGTCAGCCTTATTCACAATACTGCACAGCCACAACACTATTATTCTGTGACACTGTGTTCATATAAATGTGGCACTGAGGCACATTGCTTAGATTTACTAAAGATTTGTAATATTATTGGAGCTTACACTGTATATTTAGTTAAACGATGAAAAATGAATTACCCTATCCAAACAGCATACTATTCATTGATATAAATTATGGTAACACTTTAGAATAGGGAACAATTATTCACTATTAACTACGACTTTTCCCTCAATAAATTCCTAATTTGCTGCTTTTTAATAGATAGTAAGGTAGTTGTTAAGTATAGGTATTGGACAGGATTAGGGATGAAGAATAAGGTCATGTAGAATAAGGCATTAATATGTACTTAATTAGTACTAATAAATGGCTAATATTCTAGTAATATGCATGCTAATAAGCAACTAGTTAAGAGACCCTAAAATAAAGTGTTACCTAAATTATTACTTATTATTGAATTTCACATATGGTGTATTATAAAACAATTAATAATCCATTTCTCCCCTATTACATTTCATTGAAAAGCTACAAACAAAAGCCATCCTTATTTGACATACAGACTGATATGCTTTAAGAACATTTTGTTAATAAATAGAAAGACAGACAGAGATTTCTATTTGCGTCTAGTTAAATGTGTATATTGTTTTGGTCACATTGTGCTGTTTTAATTTTAATTGATTTCTACCATGCCCAGTGTAAAGGGGTGGTTACAATATTGTCTTTTTGTGAGTCACTGAATCACTCACTCGACCGATTTGTTAAAAATGTTGAATCATTCTGGAACAAAACAAGTGACTTTCTTCATGAGTGAGTTGCTAAATAATTCACTGGTTCAAAAACTATTCAAGCCTATTTCCACCACATAAGAAAAAAAATGCAGTAATTAATAACTATGCATAAATATGATCTACAAAATCAAAATTGTGAGTCACTAAGTACTGATTGTGAAACACACTAAGGGAGTGGACAGTTTTTTAATGCCAAAAGAAGGTTTGCGCTGGTGCAAGCTGTTAGTAAATCTGGCCCTAAGTCAATTATGTGATTAAAAAGTTTAAATTATTAGATAAAAAGACATAATTATTACATAAAAGTAGAATTTAAGTTTTAAGTCATAAATATGGCTTTATCTAATAATTTTGACTTATGTCATAATTTTTACTTTTTATCTCATAATTGTGACTTAGTATCTCATCATTTTGAATTTTTTAATCTCATAATTGTGACTTGGTATCTCATAATTTAGATTTTTTTAAATCTCATAATTGTGATTTAGTATCTCATAATTTCGATATTGTTTCTCATAATTTCCACACAGTATCTCATAATTCTGACTTTTTATCTCATAGTTATGACTTAGTATATCATCATTTTATATATCTCACAATTTTTTTTTGTCTCATAATTGTGATTTACCAAAGCCTGTCCCTGATTTTTTATTTTTTTTTAGTGGCGGATGCAGGTTTAATAATAATAATACAAATACTAATACTACTACTACTACTACTACTAATAATAATAATAAAAGAATAATGCAGGAATACAAACTATAGTCGTTTGGTGTTCTGCTGTGTCTGTATTTATAAGTATTTTTGTTAAGTTCTTGTTTATTGAGCTGTTGTACAAAAGAAATCTCACACAGTCATGCTGCATCCTTGTTCCAACACGTTTTCAGACAGCTCAAGCCATCAGAGCCATTTATTTAGGCTACTTGTGTTTTTAAATCTCTCATGGACTGCTAGCAACATTTGTATCTACTGAATTATATTTATTTTGACATTAAATGGGCTAGGTAGATCTACAGCTAGAAATAATAACAGTAGAATGGACAGGATAATGGTTAAATGCGTACACACTGATTCCACAAGCGGCGGCTATTCTGAACGCTGCCTCAAAATCTGCAACAACTGGAGTCTTTCTCTCCACGCTGTACAACGACTTCATGAACGAATGCAAACAAGCAAATCAATAGCCGTAATGACATTCCCTAATGGCTCAGCTTTGAAATGGCAGAAGTGGACTGGCAGCATGCAACACAAAGCTCTGTCAACACTGCTCAGCTGTTAAATTCAATATTGTGTTAGAAATGAATGGCAGGGCACAGCAGTTTTTTTCACATGACATACAGTCTTAAAAATAAATGTTCCAAAAGGGGTTTTTGCAACGATTCCATAGAAGAATAATTTTGGAGTCCCCAAAGAAACCTTCAGTGATTTTTCTTAGCGTAAATAAACTTTTTTCATTGTCCAGCGGAATGGTTCCATGGATGATAACGTTCATCATGGAACTAGATGCCAGTAAAGAATCTTTAGACACAGAACATACTGTACAGTGTTAGACAAAGGAATGAAACAGAAGGTTTAACCTAGCTCATATATACAATCGCCACTGCGGCTGCAAGTAAAATTAACTCCATTAGCAGGATGTGTCAGCTACGAAAGAGCTCAGATAAATTATACTTTGATATGTGAGTTGTCAAAGCAAATGCGAGCTGTCTAACGTACTGTGTGTCTGCATTGCACAAAACAATGTTGCTAAATTATTTAATGTGTCAAGGGAATCACATTAATAGGTTATGCATATGCCATTCCTGGACAAACCACATCAGCAGAGAGGAACAGTGTTCACAAATCAACATGCATTGGTAAAAGTAACTGATTAAAAAGTTGCTAAATGCCCCAAAAGAAAAGCTTCACACATTACTACTGTGATAGTCTTAAAGGAATATTCCAGGTTCAGTAAGTTAAGCTCAGTCGACAGCATTTGTTGCATAATGCTGATACATTTTGAATCATCCCCACAATTGAAAAATCCACAATCATGTTGCAGTGAGGCACTTATGATGGATGCGAATGGGGCCAATCTGTAAACATTAAAATACTTACTGTTTTAAAAGTATAGCTGCAAGATATAAGCAATATTCATCATACCATAATTTTAGTGTAAAATCACTTTCTAACCTTCTCTATGTAAAGTTACATCCAATTGTACAATTTTCTTTGCCATGAGGATGTAATGGCTAAAAAAAATGAAATAAAATAAAATAATAATAATAATAATAAAAATCACAGCTCAGGTAATACAGAAGGCAGTGTAATAACAAATTAAAATAATAATTAAAATGTGTGCTTGCAAAATGATAGACCTTACATTTCAGTAACTATTCCCTACAAAAACTGGTCCAAAACTTTATTTTATTTATTTTATTAGATAAAAATCAAAGCAATAGGACAAATACAGTAAAGTAAAGATGCTAATGAAATTATAATACTTTATATTTTCCAGGTAGGTCTACCTAGTAGTAGTATTCAGGTATAAAAAAAACTAAAAAAATTGAATAATCAAATGTAGAAATAAAACTCTGCATAGTCTTCACTATGAATTAAATACACATTGATCCTTATCCTGTGCTTTATTTTCTCATTAATAGATAGATGTTTCTTTATCACTCCAATGTGTCAACAACTTTTAGTAGTGTGCTACAAAGATTTACATACAGCGATATGAACGATATAGCAAATCTGTATCGATATACACTTTATACAACATATACATAATACGATATATATATATATATATATATATATATATATGTATGAAGAGTTCATTTGCAAAAACCGATAACTCGAAAATTTCAGAAATCAGGTTTTTTTTATTGCGCATTCCAAGTAATATCAGTTACAGTTGGGTTGTTTTGATTAAGTAATAATAGCTTAAACAAATACAGGTAATTTACAAAATTAAAGTTCATTGAAAGTATGTTTTT